AAAGCAAAAATGAACTACTGGGACCTCATCAAAATAGAAAGCTTCTGCACAGTGAAGGAAACAATCAGCAAAACTAAAAGGCAACCAACAGAATGGGAGAAAGAATTTGCAAACGACATATCAGATAAAGAGTTAGTATCCAAAATCTATAAAGAACTTATCAGACTCAACACCCAAAAAACAAATAATCCAGTGAAGAAATGGGCAAAAGACATGAATAGACACTTCTCCAAAGAAGACATCCAGATGGCCAACCGACACATGAAAAATGCTCATCACTCATCATCAGGGAAATACAAACCAAAACCACAATGAGATACCACCTCACACCTGTCAGAATGGCTAACATGAACAACTCAGGCAACAACAGATGTTGGCGAGGATGTGGAGAAAGAGGATCTCTTTTGCATTGTTGGTGGGAATGCAAGCTGGTGTAGCCACTTTGGAAAACAGTATGCAGGTTCCTCAAAAAATTAAAAACAGAACTACTCTACAACCCAGCAATTTCACTACTAGGTATTTATCCAAGGGATACAGGTAAAATGTTTCAAAGGGGAACATGCACCCCAATGTTTACAGGAGCACTATCAACAATAGCCAAAGTATGGAAAGAGTCCAAATGTCCATTGATGGATGAATGGTGGATGATGGATGAAAGAAAATGTGGTATATATATACAATGGAGTACTACTCGGCAATCAGAAAGAGTGAAATCTTGCCCTTTGCAACTACGTGGATGGAACTGGAGGTTATTATGCTAAGTGAAATTAGTCAGAGAAAGACAAATATCATACGACTTCACTCATATGAGGACTTTAAGAGACAAAACAGATGAACATAAGGGAAGGGAAACAAAAATAATATAAAAACAGGGAGGGGGACAAAACATAAAAGACTCATAAATATGGAGAACAAACTGAGGGTTACTGGAGGGGTGGGAGGGGGTATGGGCTAAATGGGTAAGAGGCACTAAGGAATCTACTGAAATCATTGTTGTACTATATGCTAACTAATTTAGATATAAATTTAAAAAATAAGAAATTAAATTAAAAAAAAGAATTTGTTTTAAAAAAACATATAGGTGCTAATCTGTAGCAATCTCTGGGATTTAACTCTGGAGCCAAAGGATGAGTAAAACACAGTTCTTGACTTCAAAGAATTGATGTCTAGTGGGAAACACAGACATGAACATGGGACACTGTGAAAGCACAGGATGAGGCTCTACCAAGAGAGCAAGTCTCAATGAATCCCATACAGGATCACTGAATTTCACCCTAAGGTTGGGGTGAAGACAGGGAAGGATCCACTGAGGATGACCTCATCAGGTAGACCAGGAAGAGAAGGGCATCTTAGACAAAGATAACTACAAATGCCAGCAGGCAGAATTTAGAGGCAGCACAGGAATGATGAGAACTTCTCCAAGGCTTATGTGGGAGAAGCTGGAACTGGGAAGGCAGGCCACAAAAGGGGTTCACTTTGTAGAGAGCTATAGGATGGCATTGTGGAGGCAAGGTTAAAGAGAACTTAGCCTGGAGGGTACAGGTGACAGTGAAAGGAAGCCAGGGTTGGGGCAGGAAAGTCAAACCTAATGGCTTCAATGAAGTCTAAGCCAGGGAATGGGAGTAAGAGTAGATAAGGGGCACTGTCCTAGGGGAAACTTGCTGTAGGTGGTGGTATCGAGCTGGGAACTCAAGATTTCAGAGAGTAAATTGGCAAGAGGGTGAGCTAGGAGGCATGTCTGTGAAAAGACAGGAAGAAATTACTGGCTAGATCAGAAAACTCAACCTGGGGAGTAGAAGGAAACAATATAAATAGAGCAGGTAGGATCAGATTAGAGAGAGTGTAGAATCAAGGCAAAGCAGTCACTGAATTGCATGTTGAAATGGTCTTCAAGGGGGCGCCTGGGTGGCTCAGTCGGTTAAGCGTCCGACTTCAGCTCAGGTCATGATCTCACGGTCCGTGAGTTCAAGCCCCGCGTTGGGCTCTGTGCTGACAGCTCAGAGCCTGGAGCCTGTTTCAGATTCTGTGTCTCCCTCTCTCTCTGCCCCTCCCCTGTTCATGCTCTGTCTCTGTCTTAAAAATAAATAAACGTTAAAAAAAAATTGAAATGGTCTTCAAGAAGGACAGTTTGGCAAGGATGAGATGCCTGCTTTGGGTTAGTGTAGATTAAGGCCAATGAAGTCAGTCCTAAGGTTGCTGCAGAAATCAAGAAGTGAAATAACAAGAGGAATGGAGAGTGGAATAAGTGGAATGGAGAGTGCATTGCACAAAGTGGGGAGCTCGCAATGACCAGTCTCCCTTCTCAAAAGGTCTATACCTAGCTCCTAGACCCAAAAGGTCTATACCTAGCTAATGAGTGGACATTAGCTTCTGTGACTAAGAGCAACCCTGGCCACAGCTGATGGGACCAGGAATGGACATCAGATCTAAGGAAAATAAGTCCAATTCTCTTAGAAATTCTAATCAAGGAACACAAGATAATTTTCAAGATGGCAGTTGAACTTAAAAGAGGTCATTGTGGAAAAAGGCCTTGAAAGGGGTGGAGGGCAGGAAAGGGCATAATTTGTTGATTAAACAAAATAGGCATATGTATGGGAAAGGATATAGCATAGTAGCTAATAACTTGAACTCTGGCATTCCCTATCAAAATAATGTCAGCATTCTTCACAGGGCTGGAACAAACAATCCTAAATTTGTATGGAACCAGAAAAAATCCCAAATAGCCAAAGCAATCCTGAAAAACAAAACCAAACCTGGAGGTATCACAATTCCGGACTTCAAGCTGTATTACAAAGCTATAATCATCAAGATAGTATGGTACTGGCACAAAAACAGACACATAGATCAATGGAACAGAATAGAGAACTCAGAAATGGACCCACAAATGTATGGCCAATTTATCTTTGACAAAGCAGGAAAGAATATCCAGTGGAAAAAAAGACAGTCTCTTCAGCAAATGGTGCTGGGAAAACTGGACAGCAGCACACAGAAAAATGAACCTGAACCACTTTCTTATACCATATACAAAAAAAAACCCTCGAAACAGATAAAAGACCTAAATGTAATACAGGAAGCCATCAAAATCCTCGAGGAAAAAACAGGCAAAAACCTCTTTGATCCTGGCCGCAGCAACTTCTTACTTGACATATCTCCAGAGGCTAGGTAAACAAAAGCAAAAATGGACTATTGGGACCTCATCAAGATAAAAAGTGAAGGAAAAAATCAGCAAAACTAAAAGGCAACTGACAGAATGGGAAAAGATATTTGCAAATGACATATCAGATAAAGAGTTAGTATACAAAATCTATAAAGAACTTATCAAACTCAACACCCCAAAAACCAAATAATCCAGGGAAGAAATGGCCAAAAGACATGAATAGACATTTCTCCAAAGACGACACCCAGATAGCTAACAGACACATGAAAAGATGCTCAATATCACTCATCAACAGGGAAACAGAAATCAAACCCACAACGAGATACCACCTCACACCTCTCAGAATGGCTAAAATTAACAGATGTTGGTGAGGATGTGGAGAAAGAATGCTTTTGTACTCCTGGTGGGAATATACTCCAGTGCAGCCACTCTGGAAAACAGTATGGAGGTTCTTCAAAAAATTAAAAATAGAACTACCCTATGGCTCAGCAATTGCACTACTAGGTATCTATCCAAAGGATACAGTTGTGCTGATTCAAAGGGACACATGCACCCCAATGTTTATAGGAGCACTATCGAGAATAGCCAAAATATGGAAAGAGCCCAAATGTCCATTGAAGGATGAATGGATTAAGAAGATGTGGTATATATATATACAATGGAATATTGCTTGGCAATAAAAAAGAATGAAATCTTACAATTTGTAACAACAAGGATGGAACTAGAGTGTATTATACTAAGTGGCATAAGTCAGTCAGAGAAAGACAAATATCATATGATTTCACTCGTGTGGAATTTAAGATACAAAACAGATGAACATAAGGGAAGGGAAGCAAAAATAATATAAAAACAGAGAGGGATACAAACCATAAGAGACTCTTAAATACAGAGAACAAACTGAGGGTTGCTGGTGGGGTGTTGGGTGGGGATATGGGTTAAATGGGCAAGGGGCATTAAGGAGGGCACTTGTTGGGATGCGCACTGGGTGTTATATGTAAGTGATGAATCACTAAAGTCTATTCCTGAAGTCATTATTACACTAAATGATAACTAACTTGGATTTAAATTTAAAAAATAATAAAATAAAATAACTTGGACTCTGAAGTTCTTTTAAGTAGGCTTCATGTCCAGTGCAGAGCCCAATGTGGGGCTTGATTTCATGACCCTGAGATGAAGACCTGAGCTGAGATCATGTGTTGGACGCTTGGGGTGCCTAGGTGTCTCAGTCGGTTAAGTGTCTGAATCTTGGTTTTGGCTCAGGTCATGATCTCATGGTTCCTGAATTTGAGCCCCATGTCGGGCTCTGTGCTAACAGTGTGGAGCCTACTTGGGATTCTCTCTCTCTCCCTCTCCCTCTGCCCCTACCCTGCTCATGCACTCTCTCTTTCTCTCAAAATAAATAAGCTTAAAAAAAAAAAAAAGAGTTAGACACTTAACCAGCTGAGCCACCCAGGTGCCCCAATGGACTCCGAAGTCTTATTGCTTGTGTTCAGGTATTAGTTCCACAGTTTACCAGTTATGTGAATTTGGGAATTTTCCTTAACCTCTCAATGCTTACGTTTTTTTCATCTTTCTCATGGAGATGAAAATGTATCTCTTTATAAAGTTGTTTTGAGGATTACATGAAATATACACATAGAGTGCAGCAGAATGCCCAGAGCATAGAACACTAGCTAGAAGGAACATGCACAGGACTTGGTAATTAACTATGGGATAAAGGAAAAGAAAGAATCAAAGAGGTCTCCAAGCAAGAGAAAAATAAGGAACAAACATCCAATTTCAAGTGTAAAACCATCACCAGTGGCTACATGTCTGGGAATAATGAAACAAAGTAGTTTCTCACCCCTTGATGTCGTATCTTCTATCTTATTAAGTATGGTCACCTTCAAGGTTTCTGCATTAACCATTAAAAGATGACCCTCTTCACAGCCAATGTATAGGTCATTTGTTGGAGTCCAGCAATGCATAGTTGGGTGAAGCAAAGGATACAGATCGTCTTTAGGCTTTAGGAAAAGATTAGAAACCTTGTGTTAACAACATTTATGGCTGTGGTACCAGGTGGCTCATTCAGTTAAGCGGCGGACTTGAGCTGAGGTCATGATCTAGCAGTCTGTGAGTCGGAGACCCTCATCTGGCTCTGTGCTGACAGCTCAGAGCCTGGAGCCTGCTATGGATTCTGTGTCTCCCTCTCTCTCTGCCCCTCCCCCACTTGCACTCTGTCTCTCTTTCTCTCTCTCAAAAATAAATAAACATTAAAAAAGAGAGAGAGAGAGAGACAACATTCATGGCTTAAGAGCCAGAGAAATACCCAACAGAATAACTTCCAGAAAGAAACAAATGAATATGGACTTATATCCTTTCAATTCATTGGTCCTGTTTGCCAAGAGCTAAGTGAACTTACCATTCCTTGCTCCACTTATCATTCTATATTTTAATTCACTAAGAATATATAAGATGGTCTTGCCAGCATATTTGGAGTTCTAGTGTCACAGGGTTTCATGAAAATTTTAAGTAATAACTCCTACACTGCTTCTTGGTAGACTTTTTTGCTATCTCGAATCTAAGAAAGACGTTGTCTAGCTAAAATCACCCTTTCTGAGGAAAACTTTTGTCATCATTTCACCCTCCTGATTCTGCAGGGGGCACAGATATGATTTTCCTTGAGTGGTTATGGAGAAGTTGACCCAGATCCTCTGGCATAGTTTTTAGGAAATGAAAAGAGGACACGTGCCTGATTTTGGTGGCCTAATTTGGTTCATGAAACATCCTATGTGATTTTGATACCATGAAAAACTCAAAGAGAAAGACACAACATCTATGGAATGTGCCTAAAAGCTGGCTTTGGGAAGTAAGAACAATATGGACCAAGGATCTAAGGCAAACTTTTCCTGTAAAGGACCAGGTAGTGAATATTTTAGGCTTTGTGGACCACAGAGGTCTCTGTCACATATCCCTTTTATTTTTTTTTAAACACCCCAATAAAAAATGCAAAAACCATTCTTAGCTTGGGGCCATATAAAAACTGGCCACAGTTTGTTGATCTCTGCCTTAGATGGTAATACCTCAGTAATATGGCCCCTGCAGCTTTAAATACTCATGTTCCACAGGGGACACGCTCTTCTGTCAGCACAGAGCAGGTCTCCTCATAAGTGAAGGCCTCCCTGCTTTCCTTCCTGGAGGTCAAGGCAGCTGTGGCAGCTATTTTGGGCATATGCCCCACAGCACTGATTAAAACTATGAATTCAGAATACATAACACAGGACTGCTTCCTTTCTAGTTAAACAAATCAAATATACTAGTTTACTTACTTAGTTATTACTGTCTGAGCTTTTGGTTATACTATAGCACTGTTTAGAATTGCATTAGCTAGAAAGTAATGTTTTTGTTATCTTTAGGATCCTTACACCCATTGGAACAGAAAAAAATATTAATAAGCTATTGACCAAATTAACAGAATTTTTGAATACTTTGAGACCTCCATGTTTATTTCATTCTTTCATTCACTTTTTAATTCATCTAAAAAATATTTATTAAACACTTACTACATTCCAGGTACTGTTCTAGGCACAGGGATGTAGCAGTGAACAAAACAGACACACACACACAAAAATCTCTGCCCTCATGGGGCTTATGTCCTGGTGAAGGGAAACAGAATAAAAATAAGCTAAGAAGTTAACCATATAGAATATTATATGTTGACAAGTGCTGTGGATAAACATAAAGCAGAAGTTGGAATAGGTTCTACAGTTGGGGAATACTGCAAACCTATTCAACAGTAATTTTTTCATTAGAAACTCCTCAATATATACAAGCTACCTTTCTAATAAATACTCAATTACTTGAACAATGTAGTATATACTGTTCTTTTAATTTAGGAATGATTTGTAGGTCCAAGGTAAAGCAGGTATACCGCTGTCAAAGTATTTCTACTAGATTCTTAACAGACATAAATTTGTTACATAACTTGTATTTAAACATTTATTGGATGTTGCTGATACACCAGGCATTGTGCCAAGTCCTAAGGGATCTCTCTTCTCAACAGGATGATCACTTAGGTGAGGGAAGAAGTATTAACAAATATCAAATCAGAAAACATGATAGGTTATAGCAGAGGAATGTTTAAATATCACGGGAGTGTTGATGAGAAAGCAATTGGTTCTTTTTGGTGGAGCGAACAAAGTATGGAGAAAGAGTTATCATTTGGAATGGACCTTGATGACTAAGGCAAAAATCTTACATAGCAGCAGTCACCATGATAATTTTTTAAAAGGAAATATATTTTTTAATATAATTTATTGTCAAATTGGTTTCCATACCGCACCCAGTGCTCATCCCAACAAGTGCCCTCCTCAATGCTCATCACCCATTTTCCCCTCTCCCCCACCCCCCATCAAACCTGTTTGTTCTCAGTATCCAGGAGTCTCTTATGGCTTGCCTCCCTCCCTCTCTGTAACTTTTTTTTCTCCTTGCCCTCCCCCATGGTCTTCTGTTAAGTTTCTGAAGATCCACATATGAGTGAAAACATGTGGTATCTGTCTTTCTCTGACTGACTTATTTCACTTAGCATAATACCCTCCAGTTCCCTCCACGTTGCTGCAAATGGTGGGCATGAAATAGATCAATCATTGACCAAAGTCAATATATCAGAGTATAAGCATATATAAATCAATCATTGACCAAAATCAATATATCAGGGTATAAGGATATATTGACTTTGGTCAATGATTGATCTATTTCATGCCCTCATAGCCTTGGATTGTTAAAAATAAATACTGGATTAATAATCTGGCCACCCTATGGGCCAAAAAGGGGGGCAAAACCACTCAAAAGGATTAAACTGCTGCTGATTAGTGACACATTTGTGGTGTCTAATTGAGATTTGACTCCTAGGGAAGAGTTACTCACTGAATGCCATTATTTAATCACGATTATTTAAAAGTTTCTTGGGTTGTCTTGATGACATCTAACCTTAGGCTATATATTACAAAGGGACAGACTCTTACCTGGTATGGCAATGGGCTGAAAAACCTTTAAAAAACCCCACACATATCTAGTTCTCACATCAGTGAATCTATGGGTATGCAACGGTAAGTGAGGATTACAACTTGGAGTTTTCTGGCCTTAATATGTTAAACTAGTATTGTGTGTGGCTTTTCTTACTTTAAGATAAACCTGGGCTTGTCTTTCTATTACTCTCTTCATCAATAAATATGTTCTGTGCCATTGAAAAATGAATGTGATATTATATGGATTATGTGATCAGAAGCAATAATTTTAAATTCTAAAAATTCTGAAATTTTAAAAGAAAATAGTGTTTAAAAATATTTGTTGATAATGCCACCCCATTGTTCAGCTCTCTGGAATCACAAATCAAAAATTTTGGTCACTTGAAGACCGAACATGAAAATTTTGAGTCTAACTCAATATTGCTTTAGAAAATGTAAGCATCTGGGGTGCCTGGGTGGCTCAGTCGGTTAAGCCTCTGACTTCGGCACAGGTCATGATCTCACGTTTCGTGGGTTCGAGCCCTATGTCGGGCTCTGTGCTGACAGCTAAGGGCCTGGAGCCTGCTTCAGATTCTGTGTTTCCCTCTCTCTCTGCCCCTCCCCTGCTTGTGTGCTCTCTGTCTCTCTCAAAAATTAACATTAAAAAAAATTAAAAAAGAAAAAAGAAAATGTAAGCATCCAAATATGTTTCAGAATACTTGAGTTTATAAAAGGAATTCCTATTTACTTACTTCTATTGTTTTTAAGGTAGATGGAAAAAGAAAACTGGACACTTGAGATTAAATTCATTATCTTGGATCCAGTTTCTGCCCAGATAACATCTGCCTTTGATTTTCCCCCATGGTACTGCTAGATACTGTTTCTCATGCCTTAAATAGGTTGTGTAATGTGAGGCAGGCCTATAATGTTGGCTACAAGAGACATAACGGTAGTATTTAATGTTTGTAATTTTGCAAAAGTTCATAGCTTATCAATTTTTAAGACTCCTCTTATACAGATCAATTCATTACTGATTTCTTTGCCATTGGTTGATACCCAAGTCACAAGAAATGTCATTCAAACAAAGGAAAAGAATCAAGACATTTGAGATCTATTTTTGGTTATGCTTCCACTCATTGTATAGACATTAATCAATGTTTTAGCCATTTTTCTCACCTTACTTATCTATAAGATGAAAAAGTAAATATTGGAAAGCTTAATTTCCAATATAAATGTAAAGTACATGCTTTATTAATATTCCCTGTGTGATTTTAAAATGTGTAACTTTAGGAGCACCTGGGTGGCTCAGTTTGTTAAATGTCCAACTCTTGATTTCAGCTCAGGTTATGATCTCATGTTTCGTGGGTTCAAGTACCATATTGGGCTCTGTGCTGAGACCGCACAGCCTGCTTAAGATTCTCTCTCTCCCTCTCTCACTGCCCTTCCCCTGTGCACATATGCACGCTCTCTCTCTCTCTCAAAAATAAATAAATAAATAAAATAAAATAAATAAAAATGTCAAACTTTAGCATTAAAATTCTGTTTTCAGAAAAAAAAGGTTAAAATTCACTGAGTATAAAAGTCGTAGGAAACAAAGATGTCTGTTTATTATGAGCATTAAAAAAAAATGGTGACTCCACATTTCAGTACTTAATGAAGGCATTTTATAGCATTTTTCAAATGATAAAGACAGATGCCTGAATTTTACATATTTTATGTAGGGTTCATCCTGCTGGTGCAAATGTGAAAGATGAGGGCTCCTACAGAATTTTACTGCAGAAGAAAAGATTCAAGATAGTTGAAAATGTGGGTTTCTAGGCATCAAATACTAAACGTAGAAACATTTTTTTCAAGTTGTAAACCCTGATGGTTCATCTATTTGTATTTACTTTGCTGCCCCACTGTGGCTGAGCGTGGTTGTATTCTAAGGCTAGGATTTGTCCTCTTAAAAGGAATTGGTGGTTTTCAGTATTGAAAAAGTGAATAATTGTCATCCTTTAGAGGAAATACTAAGAGCATACACAACCTTTCCTCTTGGTGGCGAGAAATTTTTAACAAACTAATTACCATGTTGAATTATTTTTAACATCTATATCTCAGTTCTCTTTGGCGGGACAAAAACATTTGGGAGCTTCACTTCCTTCATCCTTGGCTTGGAGTTTTAACACAATCATTAGGCTTAGCCTAACGGAGCTCCTCACCTTCATGCCAAAGGCCTTGAGTGAGCTCCCCGCCTACCTCTTGACCTACAACTGCAGATCCCCCTCATTTACTGTGCTGTAGCCACCACAAGTTTTCTTCGCTCTTCAAACACACTGATTTATTTTCTTCCCCCAGGGCCTTTGTACCTACAGTACCCTCTGACTGAACACTCTTGACCCTGTTTGTAGCACTGAGTCTCCTTGTCCTTCAGGTCTCAGTGTAAATGTCATCTCCCCAGGGGCCTTCCTTGACCAACACATGTTAATCTCTTCCTCACTTCCATCTCTTCCCCCATTTTTCCCATTATAATAATTATTACATTTTGCAATGATTTAATGTATCTCTTTATTTGTTGTTGTTGTTTTGTCTCCCTGATAGAATATAAGCTCCAAAGGGTCGGGATTATGCCTGGTTGGTCATCATGTGATCCCATTGCCTAAAACAGTGCCTGCTACATAGAAGAAGCTTGATATATATGTTGACTTGAATGAGTGTGTAGCTGTTAACAAACTCCCTTCAGAAACTTTCTCCCACGGCCTTGTTCTCTCTTGGCTTTGCTCTTATTTCTGTGATTGTTCTTTCTCAGACTCTTCTACTAAGTCTCAACTCTTAACAAATCGGTTTCCTCTCTGGCTGTCTTGCCTGGCACCCTTTCTCTCCTTTCTATCATCCCTCCCCTGCTCCAGTCCTCCACTATTCCCTCTGTGGTAATGACTCTGGCTTCTGTGTTTCCAGCCCTGCCTTCTACACCCCAGCAACAGGTCTGATGGCCCAATTTCCACCTGGCACCTATATCTGGATGCCTTCCCAGCATCCCAAATTCAATATGTCCAAAAATGAAATCAGGCCCCAGCTCTCTGTTCCTATTATCAGTGTCATCATCCTCCCAGTCAACCAACCTCCCAGTCATCATCCTCCCAGAGACTTCATTTCTCATGGTCTCCAGGGCTAATCTGTATTAAAAACCCAGGATGATCTTCTCTCTATCCTGCATGTCTCATGAGATGGTTATGAGAATCAAATAGGCAAACAGGAAGAGGTGCCAGGTAATTACCCTGAAAGTTTCTGCCTCTTCTCCTACTAGCCCAGCAATGGCTGACAGTGGGAGCACCGGTCCATAGATAAGATCCTTGGGCAACGAGGTGGGGAAAATTACATCTGTTTCGTTATAAAATGACCCATCTTCCATAGGTAGTTTTACTGACCTTTAGGAAAAAGAGAAATCAGAATAATCATTAACAAAAACTAGTCACTGATGGAGCAACTGCATATTGGTGATAAACAAGGTGGGGAGGTAATGTAACTTGTAAAAAACAAACACGCAACCAAACCAGATAAACACCAAATAGTAGATTTAAAAATACATATCGCAGGGCGCCTAGGTGGCTCGGTCGGTTAAGCGTCCGACTTCAGCTCAGGTCATGATCTCACGGTCTGTGAGTTCGAACCCCGCGTCAGGATCTGTGCTGACAGCTCAGAGCCTGGAGCCTGTTTCAGATTCTGTGTCTCCCTCTCTCTCTGCCCCTCCCCTGTTCATGCTCTGTCTCTGTCTCAAAAATAAATAAATGTTAAAAAAAAAAAACATATCGCAAAAGGACAAGTAATGCAGTTATAAATTAAGCACACAGGGATTTTTGAAAATTTTCAAAGTTAATATCTAAAGCTGGGATTGTACAGGCAGGGGTCAGGCAGGCGATGCGTAGCCAGGTGGGAGACTGTGGCAAATGGGAAAATGTGTTCCCTCCAAAAGGTGGTAGGTGCCACTCAGTTCTAGCCAAGAGGGTTTGTTGAGAATTGTGGTTCCAGAATTTTGAAAGACTATCATAATCTGGATATTTATGAGAAATCTCTCAAGTATTAAATGTTGGCAATCAATTCAAATAAAAATCAATGTGGGCCAAAATAAACGTACATATCTTCCTTGATTTATGATGGGGTTATGTCCCAATAAAGCCATCATGAGTTGAAAATATCCTAAGTCAAAATGAATTTCATACCTCTAATCTACTGAACATCATAGTTTAGTCTACCCTCCCATAAATGTACTCAGAACACCTATATTAGTTAGGCAAACTACATTAGTTGCCAACCTACAGTTGGGCAAAATCATCTAACACAAAGCCATTTATTTATTCATTCATTCATATATTTATGTTTATTTATTTGAGAGAGAGAGAGAGAGAGAGACAGAGAGAGAGAGGAGGGGCAGAGAGAAGGAGAGACAGAATCCCAAGCAGACATCAGCACACAGCCCCATGCAGGGCTTGAACTCACGAACCCGTGAGATCACAACCTCAGCTGAGATCAAGAGTTGGATGTTTCACCAACTGTGCCACCCAGGCACCCCCACAAAGCCTATTTTATAATGAAGTGCTGAATATCTCAAGTAACTTCTTGAATATTATAATGAAGGTAAAAAACAGAATGGTTGTAAAGGTGCGGGATGGTGGTCAGCGCACAGGTTATCTACCCTGTGATCACATGGCTGACTATAAGCTGCAGCTGCCACTGCCTAGCGTCGTGAGAGTATTGTACCATGTATCTCCAGCCTGGGAAAAGGGCAAAATTCAAAATGTGAAGTATGGTTTCTATTGAATGTATATCACTTTGACAACATCCCAAAGTCAAAAAATCTTAAGTAGAACCATCCTAAGTCAAGGACCATCTGTACATGTAGGTTGTATTTAGCTACCTTTACAACCTCCAATATCAAGAATTCATTTTCAAATATACCATACATCTACTTTTAACCCATAATACAGCTATAAAAGGGCGTTTGAAGAATTCATGGCTTTATGCCTTAAATTTAAAACTTCCTTGGTTATGTTTTATGAATGATAAATAATTTTTTTTTTAATTTTTTTTTCAACGTTTTTTATTTATTTTTGGGACAGAGAGAGACAGAGCATGAATGGGGGAGGGGCAGAGAGAGAGGGAGACACAGAATCGGAAACAGGCTCCAGGCTCCGAGCCATCAGCCCAGAGCCTGACGCGGGGCTCGAACTCACGGACCGCGAGATCGTGACCTGGCTGAAGTCGGACGCTTAACCGACTGCGCCACCCAGGCGCCCCTGAATGATAAATAATTTTAAAAACGGATCATGTAAAAACAGTACCTACTATTCAACCATAAGGCTTCAATGTTTTCTAATCCTGCTGGCTTTCTGAACCACGACAATCCACTCACTTTGCCTCTCACTTTAGCTGCTTATAGAAAAGTCACAACTCAACATTCAGAACTAGAAGAAAATATTCAAGGCAAACAAAAGGAGAGAATACTGGGACCAATTACTTGCCCACCTTGGCAAGGATTTGATAGAGACATTACCCATTTTATGAATGTCTCTGCCTTGAGACAGATTTGATTATTCGTTGGGTTCTTATAAAAGTGAAATTGAGACATAAAGGGTACAGAACAGAAAGAGGTGTCTTTTTTAGGATTCTCCATTTAGAAAACTTTACATTTTTCTTAAGAAGGCAATTTTTCAAAAATTGCAATTTCAAGGATGTATATACCCAGCATCAACTTAGTCTTTGACTTTGTGGAATACATTGAGAATAGTCAGTTCAGAGGCACCTTGAGTCTTTAAACTCCTTTAACAAAGGCACTATCATCATCAGCTATTACCAGGACATTGGTCACAAATTTCTTTTTGACCCAGTTCTATTTAAGCAGGTAATTCCCATGACTCCACTATATGCAACTACCCTTCTGTTTGGAGGTTATGTGAATGAAGGTATAATCCATATGTTTTCCATATCTAAAAGTTTCTTATTTTTGAGATTCCAGTTGTACACCAAAGTAATAGGAGCAAAAACTCATAACCATCCTTTTTTCATATAAATAGGCATGTTTTGAAATTGTAAAGGAAATCAAATTTTGGTAAATTAAATCATGTTGGAAAAGGCTCGAGGATGACTTGGTATTTAGAAGAAATTCATTGAGAAACCAGGTCATAGAGAATCCTTTCAAAATGCAAGTAATCACTCCAAGGGAATTACACATGTAGAAAGATGCTACAACTGAAGATGTTTAATATGTACATATAAAGCCAGTTAATTCATCAAACTGATGCAATCACATTACATGAATGCAAACTAAGACCACCACCTTGTTGTGTAACTAAGTCTCTTACTTTGCTTTTAAATAATGCTCCTGGTTACTTTTTTCAACGGTCCACACGGTCAATGCACTTGGACTTGATAAGCACAGCTGGCGCCAGTTCATAGGGTTAAAAGTCATGCAGCTTACATCCACACCAGGTTGTGACTTCTTGCATAAAATGACACTTGATTCCCATTTCCTTAGAGAGAAATTGTGTTTGGTAAAAAAAATAATTCATTTAACTTGACATCTTGAGACCATTTATCTAATTACATATATTGAGTCTCAATATATAATTTATTTAATGATATAATTTATTTAATCCATATTAATATCAAATTTATTAATTATGCTATACCCTTCTAAGAAAGCAAAATAACTGTGTGTTTTAACAATATTACCCTGTCATGTGCTATAAAGGCTATTTTATCTTCCTTATTAAATTTGAATTTAAATCATCCAAATCTAGAAAATGGAATATATCATCACACTTGCTGAAAAACAAGTATCTAAATCTCAACATACTATATATGAATACTCCAGATTGACCTATGTTCACTATACACATTGATACCAATTGATTATTTACTGACTTTTAAAAATCAGTACTTTAAAATATTTCATTCATTTACCCATTTGAGAGACTATCCTGAATCCCTACCATGGGCAAGGTCTTTTATTAGATGAAATGGGAGGAAAAATAAATGTGAGCTATCTCCTCCTCCAAGGAGCTAGCACTCCATTCAGGCTTCTGACTGGGAAATGGAATTAATATTTACTGAGCTCACCTTGCCTTTTGGCACCCTCCTGCTCTCACTTCCTTCCACCTCCATCACAAGTGTTCTGTCCCTCATGTCAGCCATTCTCTTACTGGTATCACTGGTTCCCTGAATCTTTTGACTTTCTGCCTCAGATCCCTGGACCAACCATCAACCCTGGATGGATAGAACTGAAAGCCCAGGATGCTGGAGACATTGGAACAAAGATCAGAGGACTATGTGTGTCTGTGACATTATAAATTCATGGTTAATGCCCCCACCCTTGGACCCTCAATAACCCTTGCATCCTGCTGTGTTTCTCTGGTCCATTCTCTCTCCCATTCTCTCAATAAGGGGAGAATATTTTTAATATTCTCCACTCTCCTGAAGTCTCCAACCTCTCCACCTCCTTCTTCCTTTCAGTGAAGAGATCCCATTAAGAAGATAGAGGCTATCGCCTGGGAATTCTCCCCAAATTTCTGCTATCAGGATATGCATCATTCTTTCCTCCTCCTGTTACAGTGGAAGGCATGTACTTCCTCTGACCTAAGGCTATTTTCACCACCTGTGTGTGGGGTCTTTGCCTCCTTAGGAACATTAGTTTTTCCATTATTCATTCTCTTCTACATCTTCAGACTCTCCCTCTCTCCTGACTCTTTCCTGACAACACTTAAATGTTCATCTGCACCATCTTTTAAAAAGCCTGCCCTCAATCTCACCCTTACATGTCTTTCTGCCCTCCCCTGTGAGCCAAACTCCTGGAGTTGTTCTAAACTCTCTGCCTCTTCTTTCTCACTCCAGCTCTCTCTCATGACTGGAAATCTGCTCCTTGTCACCACCAGTCCACTGACACAGCTCTCTCCAAGACCCACCAATATCCACCTTCATCCTAAATCCAACAGTTCTCAGTCCTTGTCTAACTTGACCTCTGCAGGATTTGACACTGCTCACAATGATCTTCTGAAATGACTCTTGGGATCTCTGTCACACACCTCTTAGGGGACATCTCATGCCTCTTTCTGGGGCCTTCATCACCTGTTCCGCCTAGCTGACTCAGTGGCTGTCTGACTGTGTAGGCTTTGATGAACTTCATGTAGGCACACCCCACATGTGCCTCACCTCATGCCTGCTCCACATAACCAGAGGCTCCCTTGTGCCCCTGGAAATGACATGCGGGAGGTCTAAATAAATCAGAAAGTGTGGCTGTTAACACTCTGTGCAGGGATATCCCACTCAGTGGGATAACAAGAGTCAGTGGATAAACTCTCATCTCTTCCTCCCCACTTCCTAGTCTACTACTGTCTGTCACTGACGAAGGACTTTCCATGTTCATAGTTCATTCTGCCTCTCAGAAGACCATCTGTGAGACCAAGCAATCGACTGCACTTGGCACCAAGTGCAGAGTAATGCAGTTGGCCGGCAAAGTAATGTGCCCTGATGCTGGCTCTCTTCCTTCCCTGCCTCCCTCCACTTTCCCACTTCCACCTGCCTCCTTCCTGGGATTGCGCTCCCCACTAAAGAAGTGGCTCAGGGGCTGTTACCTCAGACTCTGCTTTCTAAGGAATACTGGTTGAGGCATATTCTGGAAAGCCCCCATGCTCAGTGTCCCTCCTCCCTTCATAACTACTCCTTCTGAGCTTCCTAGGTTTCTCTTCCTCTTTCAGACCCTTTTATTGGTGCTCTCTAGGTTCGGCCCGAGGTTCTTCTTTGAGTGTTCTTATCCACTTCCAGCATTTTGAATACCACTTTAACAACTCCCAAACTTCAGCTCTCTCTTGAGCTCCAGTCCTGTACATCTGTGGCAGAGGCACTGTGTCCCTCAACATCTCTTCTCCATTTCTTTCTGTGAGTGACAGAACTCCTAGTTTTTAGCCAGCCACGTAGTTACCCACACTGAGGACCAAATTTCCCAGTGTCCCTTGTAGCTCCACAAGGCTTGTGACTAAGCTGGTGAGTGGGATATAAGTGGCAGTGATGTGTGCAACGTCTAAGCTATGCATTCCAAGAAAGGTTTGTGCTTTCCTCTTTATCTTTTTCCCTTCCCACTGGCTCCCCAAAATACATGGGCAGTGCCCCCACTTTACATTAGAGATGAGGGCAACACTCCAAGAGAGGGAGAGCAACAAGTTAGAGGCAGACTGGCCCGAGACTAGGGAGCCACCATTCCAACCATGGGCTACTCATACCCAGACTAGTGAACTTGAAGGAAACTTCTGTCTTGTTTAAACCACTTTAGGATGATTTGGGTTTCTGTGACAGAAATTGAACTTAAATCCTAACTGATCTATCAGTTGCCCCAACTAGATATATCCATTTATTTATCTCAGGCACCCTCACCTCAGTTTGTCTCAGCTGGTCTTCCCCCATTGCTGCTTCCAACTTCCCTCTACCTGTGTTCTTGACATCTTTCTGACATGAACCATAATGACCATAAGTTGTCAAAGTCACAACTCTGGGTAAAACCCTCAGCTGTCCCTCTCCCTCAGCACCACGCCCAACATTCAGTCACCAAGTGCCATGGAACTGCCTCCTAAACACCTTCCAAATCTCTCCACTTCCTTCTATCCCTACTCCCACCACCCTAGTCCATGCCACAGTCACCTCTCACCTGAGCCACCAAAGCCTACTAATTCATGTTCATGCCTATTTCCCTCCAATATACTTTCCATGACATGGCTAGAAGGAGGCTTCTTACACACAGATCTGCTCGTGTCACATCCCTGCTTATAACCCTTTAACAGCCTCCCATCACCTTTAGGATAAAGGATGTGCCTATTAGCATGGCTTAGGCATAGGGTGAGTATTCTCCTGGTTTAATTATTGACAACATCCCCTCTCACTCTCAAGTGTCCTGACTTGCATGATAAATTACATGGTCACTTATTTATAAGGCTGCTCATGAGCCAGCCTCAGCCTCAGACTGACCGCCTAGGCTTACCTCTCATGACCCATTTCTGGTTGCCATCATTATGATCTCTTAATTAAATCTTCAAACTTGCCATATTTTCTCTGACCTCATGCTTTGCACATGCCTTTCCTCTGTTTAGAATTCTCTTCCTTATCTTCTTCACAAGGTTGATTCCTACTTATCCTTTAAGTATTGCTATAGGTTGAACTGTGTCCCCCCAAATTCATTTGTTGATGTCCTATCAGTACCTCAGAATGTGACTGTATCTGGAAACAGGGTCTTTACTAAGTTAAATGAAGTCATTTAGTGTGGCCTTATTCCAATATGACTAGTATCCCTGTAAAAAGGAAAGGGGAAATTTGGAGACTGATCTACATACAATGAGAACACCATGTGAACATGAAGACAGTTATTAACAAGCCAAAGAGAAAAGCCTAGAGCAGATTCTCCCTCATAGCTCTCGGAACAGACCAACCCTGTTTACACCTTGATGTTAGACCTCTAGCCTCCAGAACTGTGAGACACTAAATTTCTGTTATTTCAACCACTTAGTAGTACTTTGTTAATAGCAGCCCCAGCAAACTAATATATCCATTAGTAGGTGAGTGGATAAATAAACTGTGGTATATTCATTCCATGGAATAGAAAGGAATGAAATATTGACACACACAGGAGCATAAGAGAATTTCAAAATAATTATGCTGCATGAAAGCCAGGCTCCCCCAACCCCAAAAGAGTCCATAATGGATGACTCCCTGTATAAAAAATTCTAGAAAATGCAAACAAATCCAGAGTGATAGAAAACACATCAGTGACTACCTGGGGAAAGGGGCCAAGGGTTGGGACAGGGATGGTGTAAGTGTGGAAGGGCCCATAAGGAAACATATGAAGGAGCACAAGGAAACTTTAGGGGGTGATAGATATATTTATTATCTTGATTATGGTGATGGTTTCATGGGTGTGTACACAAGTAAAAACTAATCAAATTATATTCTTATATGTGAGTTTTTTAATATGCCAATCATACCTCAATAAAGCCGTTAAAAAAAAAAAGAAACCGAATAAACTAAATGTAGTTCTCTGAACCTAGATTATTATATTTTTGTATAAGAAATGCTGGTGTGTAAGGAGTATCTTCAATCATTCTCTGAACAGTTTGTACTTCCCCTTAAAAGAAAAACTCCCCCTGATGGGTGCCTGGCTGCCTCAGTTGGTAGAGCATGTGACTCTTGATCACAGGGGTGTGGGCTCGAGCCTCATATTGGGTGTATAGATTCCTTAAAAATAAAATATTTTTAAAAACGGAAAACTGTCCATTGCAGGAGTTTATATGATGGATGGAAGAGTGAGTACAACTTTGAAACTGGCCACATGAAATGACCCAGCAAAGACCACAGATGTGTCTTACACGTATTTCCTACACAGCTGGCAAATGTGCTGTGCTGTTCCACTCTCTGAACATATAACTCTTCTAATGTCTCTAAAAACATTACTTTACTAATTAAAATTAAAATACTAATTATAATTACTTCAAATTGAACTCTAATATAGAGAACATCTTAAATTCATCATTAGTGGAAAATACACACACAACTCAAAAAAAGAGTTGCTACCATTTATTTGAAGGAAAGATGAAACTGTATGCAATTGTCATTCTTTACCCAACAAAGGAACTATTATAACACATTAACAAAAAAGGAAGTATGATAATTTCACTCCCATATAGCTTTTGCCCTGCCAAATTTTATGCCTAAAAGTAGCAACTGTATCAAACCTTATAATCAAAACTTTTATTCTTTCCATTTTTCCTTGTTGCACATTTTGCATGTATATGTCCTTTAATATAATCCAGACAAGATTAAAATGTAATCCAGTGAAAGGAATGCTGTAGCATACTGACTTACCAAAGGGCCAGTTCAAATTCTGGAAGAGAGGAGTAGCTAGCCAAGTAGGTGCCACAATAACTGAATGACAGTAAAGTGTAGTCCAGAAGAACGCTGCCTAAAATATAAAATCAGTTACAAGGGTTTAATCATTGCGTTCAGATTAACTACAGTCTTATAGTTTATCTCCCTTATCTAATGATTTTCACATAATCCAAAAGCATTCAGCTCCTGGAATAACAGATCTCCTAGGTAATTTCTAAGATTATGAACAGAAAGCTAAAAGCAAAGTTAAAATTCCTTTTTTTTTTTTTTTTTTTTT